ACAAAGACTTTCAGGAAACCAAAGCTTAAGCAGGACTTTATTTGGTGCCATTTTGGGGGCAGTTGCAACACCGTTTTGTTGATCAGGAACAAAGTTCTTCAAGCACGTATTCATAGAGTTCACCTTGTTAAACTTTCTATTTACCATTTTTAGATCTCTTTATTTATTTATTTTTGTAGATGTAACCCTTTCTCAGGCTCTCCACATCAACAATTAGATCAGAAACTATTAAAATAAGTCCTGCATACTGAAAGTTTTTACAATTCTCCTGCTATCTAGATACTTTCAGGGACCACTGAACTGGATGATTTTTAAAGTCTTTGTACGTTCTAGCTTTCCATAATTTGTTATTTTCCATAATGGCCTTCTGCTGTGGTTCCCCTATACAAGATCGCTTCAGGAATGGATGCACCTAGTAGTCAAGGAAGTATAGTGTATTTCTTCACGTCTGCAACATGTCATGTCTTTAAATGCTTGGTATATAAAAATTACATTAATAATAGCTAACTCTTTTCTTTTGGCAGAGAAAATACTATGCATATCATTTGCCTCTTCAATCTATTGCAAGATTGTGCCCTAGATTATAATTAAGTGGGATATAAAATTTTTCTTAGCTGAGGTTGGAACACAGAAGACTCCTCAGGGATTTTCCATAAGGGGAAACCTGGCGAGCCTTACAACCTTTCTTGGACTTTGCTGATGAAACCAGTGGAATCACAGGGCAACCGAAGGAGGTTTGTAGAACCCACAATATGATGACACTGTCAGAGGGGGAGATGCCAAAATTACTGTCTATAAAAAATTTTTTTTAGTGTTTCAGTAGAAATTTATTAAACAAACAAAAAATAACAACACCTGTAGTTAGTTATAAGAACCAAAAGCTTTTTAATAAACCTTTGTTCTTGCTAGGTGCTGTCCAGCCCATTTGGAATCATGGTGACCCTATGTAAAACAGAGTGAAATACTGCCCAATCCTGCACATCTTCACAATTGTTTTTCTGTTTTAGCCCAGTGTTGCAGCCACTGTGTCAACCCATCTCACTGAACATAACATTTTTGTTTATCAGCTTTTTTTTTTCTTTAAGAACATTTAATAGGTCATTCGTTACCTTCTGTCCTCCATGGTTTCTGATGAGTGAATAATCTTATTGGGATTCTATTTTAACTAGTTACTTTTCTTTTGTTATTTTCAAGATCTTTTCTTTATGTTAAAATTTAAACATTTTCTTTACTATGATATGTCTGGTTGTAGATTACTCATATTTGTAGTTTGTTTGTTGTTGTTGTTGTTGTTGTTAAGTGCCGTTGAGTCATTTTTGACTCACAGTCACTCTTACAGGGTTTCAAAGGAGTGGTTAGTGAGCTTGAGCCACTGACCTTGCAGTTCAGACCAACCTTACAGACCAATAATGCATTAACCCTCAGTGCCATACCAGGACTCCTGTAATTTGTTTACCACCTTCCATATAAATAGCATCATGATAAACACTAAAGAACTGGAAGTTGTCAAGTACTTTATTCTATAGGGATCAACAATCAATGTCCATGGAAATTCAGTGAATAAATTAAACAGTGTATAGCCTTAGTAAAATGTGATGCAAAAGACCTGTGCAAAAGTTTAAAAACCAATGATGTCACTTTGATGATTAAAGTGTTCCTGACCCAAGCTTTAAGGAGTTTTGGGGGCACCACAGGGTAAGCATTGGGTTGCTGCATGCAAAATTGATGGTTCACACTGTCAGCTGCTCTATAGGAGAAAGATGAAACTATCTACTCCCATAAAGATTTATAGTCTTGAAAACCCTACATAGGCTTATTATGAGTTTATATTGACTGGGTGATGGGGTATTCATATGACCTAAGGTTTGGCTGTTTGAATTGCATCATATGTTTGTGATAGCTGGATAATGAAAAAGGCAGATTTAAGGAGAATTGACACATTAGAGTTGTGTCCATGAAGGATATTCACTGTATTATGGGCTTTCAGATGTATGAATAAATCATGTCTTGGAAGTACACCAGATTAGTACTTAGAAACAAGAACTGTGAAATTTGATCTTGTCTACTTTGGACATATGATAAGGGAGGATCAATTTCTAGTAAAGGATATCATGTTTGGTAAAGTGAAAAATCATCACAAACGAAGGAAACATTTCATCAGTTGGATTGATAAGGTGGTTGCAACATATGAACAATTTGTGTGAACGGTACAGAACCAGGCAATGATTTTTTCTCTGTTTACATAATGTAGCCATGAATTGGAACCAAACAATAATAACTAGCAAATTTGATGAGTTTCAGGTAATTGTAGATTATGTTTTAAAATCATTTTTAAGATTTTTCAGTCACTGTTACTTCTAATGAAGTCCTGGTGTGGCATTGTAGGTCAAGCACTGTACTGCTAACCTAAGGTCAGCTGTTGAAACCCACCAGCCAATCCCGGGAAACAAAATACAGGGTCTCTATGAATTTGAACTAACTAGACAGTACAGCAATGTTGCGTCAAATATTTTTTGTGCCTTTCTCTTTTCCTGCTTCTTCTTCCATTACTTGTATGTTAGTACACTTTCTGGTGGCTCATCTTACTGAAAGGGTCAGGTTGTCTGTTTTCTTTGTTTTTCTGATTTTATTTTTTCTATAAAACTATCTTCAAGATTACAGAAAATTTTCTTCTTTTAACTCAAGCCTATGGTTGAGTCTTTCTAGTGACTTTTTGTTTCAGTTAGTATACTTTTCAACTCTAGAATTTCCAGATGATTCTTTTTAGTAATGTTTATGCTCTTGATCGTCTCTGAAGAATGAATGTCATCATAGCTTCCTTTATGAATTGAAACTTGTTTTCCTTTAAACATATTTATAATAGCTGCCTTGAAGTCTTTATTTACTTTGTCATCTGTCAAAAGTAGTTTCTCTTGTTTGCTCATTTAGGTTACTTCTCATGCTTCTTTCGTGTCTCAAATTTTTTTGGTTGTTGGGTATTTTAGAGACTATACAATACCAACCCTGGATGCTAGTACTACCCTTAATCCCTAGGATATATTTTTCTTTTCTTGGTTATTTAGTGACTTTTGTGGGACTACATTGCTGCTGTTGTTGTTGTTAAGTGCTGTGAAGTTAGTTCCAACTCCTGGTGTGCTTGAACTGCTGACCTTGTGGCTCACTGTCCAGTGCTACTCCTACATAACCACACAAGAAATATACACACTATATCATTGTTGTTAAGTGCTGTCAAGTCTGTTCTGACTCCTAGCAACCCTGCATAGGATTTCTGAGGAGTGGCTGGTGAGCTTGAACCACTTACTTTGCAGTTCAAACAACTTTTGCAGTCTAGCAAGTTAGCCTACAGCATCAAAACAGGACTCCATATACTATATTGGTGGTGGTGTGCTGTGAATTCAGTTCTGACTCATAGTGACTCTGCATAGGCTTTATGAGGCAGTAAACCTTTACAGGAACAGAAAGCCTCATCTTTACCCCCACAGAACAGCTTGTAGTTTTGAATTGCTGACCTTGAAGTTAGCAGTCCAACCCATAACGACTATGCTATTAGAGCTCCTTACACACTGTATTAGAGAAGTATATTTCCCCTGAAGTGCTCAGCTACTGATATCACTAATTTAAGGGCATATCCTGGCATATGCACAGGATGAGAGTGGTTCTATCAGGACTCTCTTTGTTTCTCTGATCTCTCTGCTGTCAATTTTCATTAGTATACCAACCAGCTCTTAGCTTCTGGTGTCTGTATTGTTTTTGAAAATGCTCTGGTGCATAGATTGCTCCTCAGTCCAATCAGTTTATATGTTGATCCCTTATAGGGATAATTTGAAGCCAGTGTTTGAGGTTTTCTCTGATCCCAGAAGGCTTTTCTTAGCTGTCTCTTTACCTGGTCTCTCTGGCAAACTTCTAATTGGCGTGTTGGTTAGCTTTTTGATCTTGTGGAGCTACTGTTGTTGTTACTATTGTTAAGTGCTGTCAAGTCGGTTCTGATTCATATTGATTCTGTATAGGGTTACCTGGTGAATTTGATTGTGACCTTGTGGTTTGAAGCCAAGTGCTGATCCTACAGCACTGCTATCTCTTATTTACTCACCATCAGAATAGCCACTGTTTTCAAGACCGTCTTTAGTCTTGAATTTCCCTAAATTTCAAAATAAATTCAAAGAAAACCTCTAATCCCAGAAAAGAATTTCTATGCCACTACCCTGGAGTTGGTGATGAAACTGGCTGGCATTTCTCAGAAGTGAGTCAGTCATTTTTCATCATGTGCAGAGTTCTAAAGTGGGGTTGGCAGACATTGGCCTTCTTGACTTGCCTCTCCTTCTGTGGAAACTCCACCTGATAAATAAATTGGGACAAAGGTAATCAAAGCTCTATTATTCTTGAATTAGGACCTGGACCAGAGTATCTGCCTTATTAATAGGGGCTGGGTGAAAAGTTGGTTTGAAACACAAGGTCAGCAGTTCAAGCTCACCAGCCACTCCTCGGAAACCCTATACAGGGTCTCTGTAAGTCAGAACTGACTCAATGCCCTTAACAACGATAACAACAATATTTTGGGTATTCCTGATTAAATAAAACAGTACTGGAATTAATTTCATTTTTTTTTAACTTATTTGTGTCTAGTAACAATTTTAAAAACAATTTTCTGTCTCATATTTCTGGTGAAAAACACTGCTCTAGCTTATCCTCAGTAGGTGAAAATATAATGATCCTTCTTAACTGGTAAGAATTTATAGATAATTCAGTGATGTTCACTTTACCATTATGATTTAAAATTCATAGCTGGATTTAACTACAATAATTGTTTGAAAATTCATAACATCAAATGCTTTTCAGCCTTTATTAATCCCTTGAATGTTGATGGACAATCTTAAGTACCTAAATACATAGTAGTTTTGTAAAAACAATGATTACATTAAATTTAACTATGTTTTCTAACTTGTGAGTAATTATCTCATTTTCCTTTTTCTAAGTGACAATTTTTTCCCCACTTTATATAGACACATTTTTATGCGTAAAAAACATCAGAACAAGCTTACTAGGAGTTGTGAAACAAAATGGATTTACATATACAAAGAATATGATGATAAACTCCTTAAGAATCTCTTTTTTAAACCTGACACTGAAATAAAAGAAACATTTACACACTGGAAACATGTAAGTATAATCAGTTTATCATTTAAAAAAATATTGTTATTTAAGATGCTACTTATTATTTATAGCACTAGTAAAAATTTATTTAATCTCTTTTACATATCTTTCATTATATTATTAATATTTCGGTTCAGATTTTCCTTGATGTGAGGAAATTATATAATAATGTATTTCAAATATAATTTTGGTGATGCATCAAGTATTCTTATAACTGCTATTTGTAATTTATGTATATATATGTATTTTTTTTTACTTTTTAATTTGCTGCAAGTAGTCATTAATCTTAATATAAAACCTGTTCTCAGTGGTTTCAAACATAAATAAATATTTAATTTATTAGAGTCTGTAAATTCTATGTATAGCCTAACATTTACTCAGCATTTTATTCCAAATCATTTATTGGTTGAGGATAGAAAGACACTTACTTACATTTATTGAATGCCTACTATGTGCCCTGCATTGTGCTAGATATTTTTCATATGGTATGTAATTTATTTTCCACAGCATTATAACATAGGTATTATTTTATATCATTTTTTAAAATAAGGAAACCAAGTGAGGTTAATTTAACTTACCAAAAGTCACAGTTAACTGACATAACTAGGATTTGATTCTAAGTCCTACTAATTACAGAGTTTCTGTTTTTTCTATTTTTACTGTTTTGTTTTGATTTGGACTTAGATAATGATACAAATCAAGGCTATGGCATTGTATAAGTGACTAGAGTAAAGTCTTCATGAAGTGTTTTGTTTACAATAAAAAAAAAAAACAACTCGTTTTTATATGGATCTGTTCTAAAGTAAACCGGGCAAAAAGAAGCCAAAAGATATAGAATGTCATTACTGTGATATCAATGTAAATGAAAATCTATGCTCTAATTTATTAATACCCTCAAGCCTATAAATCTCACAAGTTACACACTGAATCAAACATAGGTTGAAAAGTAGATTGATCCTATTTAAAACTTTTTCCTTATCAGTACTGTGTGAACTGTGTTTATTTGCTTCAGATAGTAGGATATTCTATCGAAGTATAAATTTAATGTAATATGTTTTGATTATATATACGATGTAAACTAATTTATTTCAGGGAATGCCACCAGATTTTTCAATTCTTTATACACAGTAGGCTGACAGTGAATGTTGTATACGGATGACCAATTTGGATATCTTTGATAGATAATATACGTAAGGGCTTCAAACTGTTTGTGGAAAAATTCTATTATCTTTTAATTCAGTTTCTCATGAATTTTTTGAAGCCCCTTCATATTCACATACATTTGTATATATGTATATACCTATTCATATGTGTAAATTGCATATATAGTTATTTATTCACATTTATTTGACATATGTATTATAAGTTACTATTATTATATATGCTTAAATAATACAAAATAACAAAGGTTATTCTATTTAACATCTATGTTACATAGGAGATAATTGTTAGGATGTTGGAAGTATTTTGTATGTTATGAAAATTTAGGCAATAAATATTCATTATAAGGAGTTTTCCAAAGCACTGTCACATTGGAAATAATTCTACTAATCACATTACTATTTGTATATGTTTTAAAGAACTATTCTGCTATATCCTAGGATTGATTATGTGCAATGTCCTATGCCTTTTTATTGTTTATAATCAGAAGTCAAAATAAACAGTCAAACTGTATTTGCCAAGAATGAACTGTAAATAAGATATAGACCCAAAAGTCAGAAGCTAGGAGAAAGGAATCTGATGAAAATCAGGCCAGAATAGAAAAAAAATAAGAATCCGAAAAAAAAAAGTATGAATACTATTTATCCTTGACTTATAGTTATGAGTCAGAGAATGGTTGCTGTATGCTTATATTGTTGTTGTTAAGTGCCTTTGAGTCGGTTCCGACCTATAACGAACCCATACAGGGTTTCCGAGGCTGTAAATCGTTATGGGAACTGAAAGCCTCATCTTTCTCCCATGGAGTGGCTGGTAGTTTCGAACTGCTGATCTTAAGTTACACAGCCCGATTCATAACCACTATGCTATCAGAGCTCCTTATGCTTATGTTTGACTGACATAATATATAAAATTAAGATGGTCAATTAGACCAAGTTTTAGGGAAACTTGATTGCTACTAAAATGTATTGTAAGGAAATCTGGATATTATTGTGAAGAATTTTGCTAGGTAGTCCTAGCTAAGGTGTTTTGGCAAAATTAGCTGCTTTCCTCAGAGGTTATTGACAAAAATGTGTATACAGGGAGCAGTAGCAAAACAAAATAATTCCACACTGGGGCTTTAACCACAAATTGTATTGTAAAATTTTACAAACCTGTACTTGACTAGGAAAAAAAATTCTCTATTTCCTATGCTTGGCCTGGATGATCTTTCATTTAACATTTTTTCAACATCAATCTTAGGAAGGATATTTTACTGAAAAATAGTCACATCCATTGGAGCAAAGGTGTGGTGTTGTGGGCTAATACATCAGACTGCAAAGTCATTTGAATTGTAAGGTTGGTGGTTCAAGCTCACCAGCTGCTCCTTAGAAATCCTATCAACTTGATGATACTTAAAACAACAACAATTGGAGACAAAAGGGAAGCAATTCAGAGGGGGAAATGGAATATGTCAGAGGAAGCCTAGCTCTCTCTTAGCTTCCTGCCCCCTTATTCATGCATCTGAGGCTTCCTCAAGCTGGTTTATGCATATGTTACTAGAAAAGGAGGAAGCTTTTATGAGGAGGTAAGAAAGAGAGATAGCCAGAAACCTTTACTGCTTAGATGTCCTAGGAAGTTAAGAAAAAAGAACAAGTCTGTATTGTGGATCTCTATCAACTTTGAAAGCTCTATATGCTAGAATCATGGTCTAAACCTCTTAGACTTAAACAAGCCCCTCCCTTCCTCCTGAAGCATGAAAAATCTCATATCCCTTCTTGACTCTTTGTTTCGAGAGGACATTTGAATTCCCTCTAGGTATTAACAAATTGACAAATATAATTGATTAGGCAATACATTTATTCTGGAAGGAATCTTACTTGGAACCACTTCTAACATGTTCATAGTTTGAATTCTTTCATGACATTATGTTAAGGTGCTGGGAAATCCTAACAATCTAATGTGTCATTTAGCTAAAGATTTTCTTCAAAACTTAAGCAAGTTTATTGATTTTTGCCTTGCTACCAAAGTTTAATTTTGCCCATAGATGATACTGATGAAACTGTGTTATTGCCATGCTGAATGCTATTTTTGTAAGACAACATAAAATTAAATATCTCCCAGTACAATCCTCACTCTGAGGATTATTAAATGTATGAGGGTGTGTCAAAAATTATCTGCACTCTGGCATTAGAATTTATTTTAATCAGCTTTTAGAAAAGACAAATATATCATTTTTTTAACATAATCTCATTGCTTTTTAACACTCTGTCAACAAGCTGATTTTAAAAAATGTTTTAAACTGAACTGTGAGCCACAAATGCACTGTGTCTTTACTTCCACATCAGAGGTGAATCTTCATCCTCAAAGGGCTGCTTTCAGGGGACCAAATATGTGAAAGTAGGGTGGAACAGGATCAAGACTATAGGAAGATGCTCAGCATCTCAAAAGGAAATTTTTACAGGGTGTCAACAGTGATGGTAGAACTATGTGGATGTGTACTGTAATGCAAGAGCACAATGCATTAGATAGCCTGAGAGTAAATGACTGGATATGAAATGGAAACAGCCTCAACTACTGACCAAGAAAATGTTCAAAAGTCAACCGTCAGCTGGACAATTGATGCTTGCAGTTTTCTGGGATTCTAAAGGGTCAGTATTGGAACATTACCAGAAACAACTTTCAATAATCAACAGTGCTCCTTACAACAAGATGCTCAATGAAAAGCTGAAGCCTAGCAGAGTGATTACGAATCACACTGTGAACTGCAAGGTCAGCAGTTCAAAACTACTAGCTGTTCTGTGGGAGAAATATGAGGCTGTCTGCTCCCGAAAAGATTTACAGCCTCGGAAACCCTGTACGGGATTGCTATGAGTCAGAACCGACTCCATGGCACATAACAACAACAAAACTTCAGATTCAAAGCAGAGGACTGCTATCCAAGGGCATTGTGATCTTGCATAGCAATGCACAACCACACACATTTGCTCACATTGTTGACATTCTGAAAAACTTTTTTTTTTTTTTAAAAGCAGCCAATTGAGGACTAAGATTCACCTCTGAACAGAAGTAAAGACAGAAGTATATTTGTGGCTCACAGTTCAGCCTAAAATATTTTTTAATAATGGAATATGGAAGCGTGCTGAAAGATGGACACATTATTTAGAAAAGCCAGGAGATTATATCAAAAAATGAGGTATTTGTCTTTTCTAAATGTTGATTAAAATAAATTTAACAGCCATAGTGTGGATAAGTTTTGACTTACTCTCATATTTTCTTAAAAGTTTATATATTTATTGTTTTATTTTAAGCCTTTGAAACTGTTTGAATTCTAATATTATTTAAAAATAAATAAGGGATCAAAATATAAATGAATTAACTTTTTAAAATTATATCACAAATGAATGAAAAAAAATACCTGAAAGCATAGTTATCAAGATGTTAGTAGTTAAGGTAGAATTTTAGGGGACCATTGTTTTCTTTCTGATAGCTATTAGCCAAAGAAAGTCATGTTTTATTTATATAATAAAAAATAAAAAATGATTTATTTATTATAAATAAGGATATTGTACCCACACTTTGTAATAATACATATGTAAAATTTTACCTTCAGGTACTTCCACATTATCAGTTCTCTTTTTACTATTAGAAATGTGAAATGACTTGTTAAATGACCTAAGTGAGTAAGAGAAGTAAAAAGTAGTCACCTTAATTAGGGCTTATGCATCGCACACCTCATAAACACATTCACATAATGCAATGCGGTACTTGAACAGCATTCCTTGGAATAGTTTGCACAGCCCTGTGAGAATGCCTGAATTTTACCTATTTGGTAAGGAATTGTGTTTGGTTGTTCTGGGTATTTTAAA